TCCTGAGTAGCTGGGATTACAGGCACGCACCACCATGCCCAGCTAATTTTTTGTATTTTTAGTAGAGACGGGGTTTCACCATGTTGACCAGGATGACCTTGATCTCTTGACCTCGTGATCCACCTGCCTCGGCCTCCCAAAGTGCTGGAATTACAGGCTTGAGCCACCGCTCCCGGCCAAGGGGATTCAGTTTCAGTATGAGTTTTGGGACATGGGGCAAGCATTCAAACCATAGCATAGGTCAACCCTCCCTGAGAAAAGAGGAATCAATTCCTCTGCCAGGAGGGAGATCAACCCGCCTTCAGACCCCTCTAGACCAACTTTCATTCCTGAAGGCAAAAAGGCTTGGCCCCAGACCTCTGAGGGCAGGAAGGTGTCATGAAGAGTTTCTGCCAGCCATGCAGCTGCCCACCACGTGGGAGAGAGGCAAGAAGAGAGGAGGGGAGAACACCAGACTGCAGCAGCCCAGCCCTTCTCAGAAACAGTGCAAGATAAAATACAGCCACAAGATGGCAGCTGAACTACTTCAGCATGGAGTGTGCAGTGCAGAGCATGGACCCTCTAGAAATACACCACTTATGCTAGATGACCTCTGACATTTTGGTGGGAGATCATTATGTAAATGCTATTTATAATAATAATGTAGAAATAATTGCATTTTTTTTAAATTTAAAATTTTTTTATTTAGAAAACAATGGGGTCTTGCTATGTTGCCCAGGCTGATCTTGAACTTCTGAGCTCAAGCGATCCTTCCACCTTGGCCTCCCAAAGTGCTGGGTTTATTGACGTGAGCCACCACACTGGCCTAGAAATAACTTTAAACAGAGAAATTAACACAAGAATTCAGGTGAGGTGGCTCACGCCTGTAATCCTAGCACTTTGGGAGGCTGAGGTAGGCAGATCGCTTAAGGTCAGGAGTTCAAGACCAGCCTGGACAAGATAGTGAAATCCTGCCTCTACTAAAAAATACAAAAATTAGCTAGGCATGGTGGCGGGCACCTGTAATCCCAGCTACTTGGAAGGCTGAGGCAGAAGAATCACTTCAACCTGGGAGGCTGAGGTTGTAGTAAGCCAAGATTGTGGCACTGCACGTCACCCTGGTTGACAGAATGTGAGATAGTCCATC